GAAACTATAAAATTTGATTTTTAATACAATTTCTCAAAATAATGAGAGCAATATTAATAGTTTTGAATCATTTGTTAAATCCAAAATTACAGATAATTGTGTTGGAAAAATGGTTCAAAACATTGTAATAGTTCTGACCCAAGATTAGGAATGTAATATTACCATCAATGATAATACTTTTGTTCGAAACTTTTGTTGGAAAAACAAAAGGACAAATATGTACTATTCCACATAGCTTAAGAACACATGTCATGTGATATGAAACAGTGTTCTTCAACTTCTGTGTAATTTATATTGTGGATATAAAATTCTAAAACAGTGGTATTTAAAAGAAAGCTTACCAGTTTACAAAGACAATTTTTTTAGTTTTTACAAAATAAAATTTTTTTTTCTGCTCTGAGTTATACGGCGGCCAGTCTAAGGGCTGTTCATTTATCACCTTAAAATGATGCCACACCTTTCAAAGTTTTTATCTTTTCTCTGATTTCTTGTTTCAGTGGCAACATATTTCTCTGGAACTGGAACTGAAGATGTGCAGTCAACTGTAAGGTCTATCTCTGTGTTGATGTAACCTTTGATTTAATACAATACGTAGCTGTTCTTTCACACGTTACTGTATGTATGACAGATATTATATACAGCATGTCATCAGGCAAACGTCATCTACAAAGAGCCACCAAGAACATAAATCTAAGCCAAGACAGTCTCTGGTAAGATGTCAGACAGATGCTCCAAACAGTTTCAAGTAACTCCTGTATTACAACGCTCATTTTTCATATGTCGCAGGAAACCATTTTGGGAAGAATTAACTACTACATACTATGAATACACAATGCAATTTAGAAAGTGGTCAAATGTAAAATATGTTCTATTTGGGATTACACTTTCTCAGTAAAGTACAGATTCTAGTACTTTTGTTGGGTCGAGTCCAATCCTGGATTCAAACCCACACTCAGAGTCAATCACCTAATCGCCAGCACACAAAATCAGCCGCCTAATCCACTCGGCCACTACTACTACATACTAGGGGTGTCACGATACACCAATCTCACGATACGATACGTATCACAATTTTAAGGTCACGATACGATACGTATCGCGATGCATAATTTTCGCGCCTTTTCATAGCATTACCTTACCGGCAACGTACGCGCTCGCTGATTGGTCCATCAAAATAGTCTAGCCAATCACAAAAGCTGTTAGTTTCCAACCTATTTTTTAAGTAAAGCTAGCTACATCTATTTATCGGAGCGGTCTCGTATAATTTTACTATCAAGACTTTGAAGGAGATGGATATAGCATAAAAATTTGAATCGATAAAGTTTTAAAATAGGAATCAATACACGCAAGCATGTATCGCGTATCGTATCGTCAGTAAAAATGTAAAAATGTATCGATGCATCGATACATTCGCGTATCGCGACACCCCTACTACATACTATGATGAAAACAACAATATTGAGTATTACTGTACATTGCCAAATATATAGCGACCCCAATGTAAACGTGACAAAATCAAGGTTTATTTATATCTATTTTTGCACAAAGTACATCACGTCATTAGATTTTTAATAAAAACATGTTTGTGTTCTAGTATTTTTAATATGCGGCATAGAAATCAAGCACATGGCACCATTTTATGTTGACACAGTGCGATACCAAAATTGGTGACTGTAAGAATTATTGCTAAAGGTGGCGTAAAACCATGCTCTATCACTATTTAACCTAGTGCATAAGGCGACCCCTTCAAACTCAAATTCTAGCTACAAAAACCATGCCAATATACGGTACTTTTTGTGGGCAGGGGTGTAATGCATATACAACAAAATCTATTAAATGTTTGGAAAACTAATGGCGAAAGCCAGTTAATGTAAAGAGTTGCTTTCATTTGTTTTTTCCCTTCATATTTTCATGAATCATTCAATAGACAAAAATATTCATATTTTCCTGCATTAGTCTTATGTGTAATAACCCTAACAAACCTATATAAACCACAGTAATCTAAAGTATAATATATATATATATATATATATATATATATAACTTGGAGAGATTATGCCTTCATTATTGTACAACAGCATCAAGTGTAGAAGTCAGGGTTTCAGGTCTTATCACTTCATAGGAAACTGTCATCCCAAATGTCTTAAAGATACTTTTCAAATTCAGTATATAGACAGACTACAAAATCAGGATTAAGTCAATTGTGTTTGTTTCTAGCAAAATCAAAAAGTTGAATGCTGATACAGTGTGGATTTCAATGCTACCAAAACTATATGCCTATACATCAGGCCAAATTGAATAAAAATACTTGTTTAAGCTGACATAAACCCATCAGATATGGTAGGTCAACAGTGTTCATATTTTCAACATTCATCATATAGTATTCACAAATTTCATGCAGATGGATTGTTCAAGACTGATGTGAAATCGCAGTTGCTGGTCAAAACAGCTACAACTGACTAATAAACAGTAAACTGAACTGTTTCCAAAGGGTACTGCAAGTTTTGAACCAGCTGTATTCATCGGGGACAATAATATTCGAGTAGAAGATGAGGTGAGGTGAGGTGAAATTGGGTTCAACGTCGTGCTTGAGAATATTTCACTCATATGACGACGTGCATGCGTGTGTATGTGTATGTACGGCTGCTTGTACTAGCCCAGACTTAAGCTGGTTTAATAGTGCTAGCCCACTGAGATACGATGACGCAGTGAAGCATGAATACCCCACTCAGACGCATTATACTGACTCCGAGCCGAGTGCCAGGCAGGGACCAACAAGTACCATATTTTAAACGTCTTTTGGTATGACGCGGTCGGGGATCGAACCCGAGACTCTCCGCTCTCGGGCAGACGCTCTTACCACTACACCACGGAGGCGGTCGAGTAGAATGAAGAAAAAATTGTCAACCTCAAATGCAATATAGAGCTTTAAATTATATATACTGGACAAAATAAGTTAGGTATATTGGTATTTTTATGATTGATATTTTATCAGTGTGTCAATGAATAACTAGACCATTGTTCATAATTTCAAAATTTACATATATCCCTAACTATTTTTGTCAAGTATATTTTATGCTTGCAAAAGCTTCAAAATATCAATATCTGCATATGTAATCTTCAGCATAAGATCGTTAAATGTTGATTACTTCGTGAAGAGAAAAACAATATTTGTGACCTGTGCCCCATTACTCCAGTATCCCTTCAGTAATCACATATCAGATAAAACAAGGCAAAACGAGTAATTCAATTGTCCAAGTATCTTTCTGTGTACCGGGACAAATCATCATTGATTTTTATTCACAGCTGAGGAGGTACTGTCTTTCAATAAATTTAATGTCAATTCACATTTCAGACATGAAGAACTTTGGCTACTTTTTAAAATTGACATTCAATCTACACTTGCCCTGAACATTAAACAGGATCTAATGGGTTCTGATTGAACTGTGTTCTGACTGGACAGGGAGATCTGCTGAGTCATCAGTAATATGCTCTGTTTTACTGATTAACATTGACAATCAAAAGAATTTGTTTTTGACTTTCAAATTACTTAATATTTCACTTAACATTATCGTGAAAAGTTGAAAGTGGGAGAAAAACAAATCAACATAAATACCAGAACACCAGATGATCTTTAGAGCCATTTAGCTTTTTCACATGATATCATTTTTAATGGGCATTTACATTTCATCCAGTAGACAACATATTTTCATTCCTGTATTATATAAACCAAACAGTAGACATTAAAAGAATGAATAATTCTGCTTTAAATGCAGTTTTAAGTGACTTCTTATATGCATCTGTTCATGTGATCGCCTAGTTGTGTTCTTGGTTGCATAAACTTGCTACTGTATATGTCTGTGTTGCATTTAACACACCTCTGTGCATTATTCACTGTTCATGCATGTGATACGTGCATTCAATCAGTAAATATAGATTTGTAAGACAATACATGCGAGCAACTTAGGTTACACGGAGTAATAACACAGTCTCATTATACTTTGGAAGCGTTAATGCATTCATGCATCTTCCATACAAACATGTCATATACACAAGACAAAGTCTTAGATATCCAACCACCCTTTTAAAAGTCCTGATTTTCACTGTAATAAGCAATATTTCAGTAATATTGTGCTGACCTGGACCAGTCAATCCAGTGATTGATAACATGAATGTTCACACCCTTTCAGCAGATGCTGTCACAAAGCTTAATCACAACTCCAGTAAGCTTTCTCTTATCACGCATAGATTGTAGTGTGAGTGAGTATGGTTTTCTGTCGCTTTTAGCAATATTCCAGCAATATTAAGGTGGGGGACACCAGAAATGGGCTTCACACATTGTACCCATGTTTCAAATCGAACCCAGGTCTTCAGCGTGATCAGCGAACACTTTCACCACTGGGCTACCCCCCTGCCCCTGCATTGGTTGTAGATGATAAACACAAAAACAAAGTTCATTAAGACACTCGATGATCTGAGATATGATCCTGTTTCAAACTCTACTCTTAAACTTTATCACTTAATTCTCAGGCTCCACCATCTGTTTGAAAAGATCAGTTTCAGCTGTATCCAGATGTAGCACACAGGATCAAGTTTGTTTGATGTTTCAAACTAACTACTCAGCAATGTGCAAGCTCCAACATGGCAATTTGTGTGGATCAAACCAGCGACTGATATTATCAACATCAGCCAATGCTGTAGGGGTATAATAACATTACACTGATCAAGTCACCAAGCTTGACAAGTGAGTGAGTGTGATTCAGTTTGGTTTAACGCCGCTTCTAGCAATATTCCAGCAATATCACGACGGGGACACCAGAAATGGGCTTCATAAATTGTGCCCATGTGGGGAATCGAACCCTGGTCTTCAGCATGACGAGCAGACGCTTCAGCCACTAGACTGCCCCACCAAGCTTGACAAGTGAACCCAATTGGCTGACACTTACTGGCCACCACATGTGGAACACATTTTTAAACACATAGAGACTGTTATTACTTACCCCTTTTGACTCCTCTTCGCTTTCTGACCTCTTATTTTGACTCGTTCTGTTGTTTTCTGTTATACCCTGCAAAATAACAATAATATACTTATTTGACAAGTCTAACTATATCCGTACAAGTGAGCCCCATTTCAAAGCTATAAAAATCAAAGCATTGGTTACATGAGCAACAATCTGTGCCATCAGCATGTGAAACATGATCATACCAGATTCAAGTTAAATGCCATTACAGCGATTTTATTATTATTGTAAAGTAAGCAAGGTACAATTATCTCAGCGCTAATAATTTTCATGGAATTGAGCCATGTAGTGGATGGTAGGGACACGTACTAAAACAAAACCAGGTATTCCACATGGGTATGGTGTCAAAGATCATTACCAGGTGAAGAAAAGATTTGTAACAATGATAGTAAGTTTTCTATTATGCCGCTTTTAGCAATATTCCAGCAATATCACGGCGAAGAACACCAGAAATGGGCTTCATACATCGTACCCATGTAAGGAATCGACCCTGGGTATTCGGCGTAACGAGCGAATGCTTTAACCACTAGGCTACCCCACTGCCTCCCATGATAAGTAAGTTCTGACATGAAGAAAAAGTTCATACTTCATTTCCTGAAGTATATTCCATTATGTAGTCACAGGGCTATAACAATTGATATACAATAGTCACTACAAACAGAACTCTAGTTATATCCCGGCACGTCATGTGGGAGTAAAGCCATAATTGACCAGTTCCACAACGTGATAATTACATTATGGATGTCACAAGCCTATGGTGAAGTATGAAGTTAGGACCACCTTAATATTACAATCACTTCGTTGGCACAGGTCTCAGACTTTACTTCTTTGGTGAAGTCTATTGTTTAGAAAATCAAAGTGAATTGTTATATACTGAGGTTATATCGTGAATTTAAGTGAATTGACATATACTGAGCGAACCTGGCATGCTGAAGAAGCCATTTGTCTATTTTTCTTTTTCATAAGTTATATTTTCACAAACACGGCGACCAAAAACATTAGAACCTTTAGAAATATGTAAACAGACAAATGTGGATGCGAAAACAAATGTCTGCATAACCATGAGTAAATGCAGTTTGAAGATTGGAACCTTCAAATGTCTCATAGTATGTAAAACCTTCATACAATGACAGTGACGTATATGCACTCAAATATCAACCATATGGCCTCAAATGGATACAAAATAGATTCATCTTAGTGACATCAGCCACAAGAATCTGTTATTAACAATTAATTTATTTTTGGTAAATATCTGCACTGAACCCACATGCATTTTGAATTTGTGTTGCTTTGACCTTAAGGAACTAAAACTGACTTGATCAGGTAAAAGGATCCATTTCCATTTTTGTAAAGATTATACAAATCTGCTTGGAACTTTTTCAATTTTCTAATTTTACACTCCAATTTTCCATAAATTTAATAACCATATTTTCTTAAGCAATGTAAAATTAAAGGAAAGAAAAAGACTTGTGGCTAACATCTTGAGGGGGCCATTACACACACAATGAGTTGATTACCACAATTAATTTAACAACTAATCCTAACAGAACTAAGCAAGGGGAGCCTGCCAATAAACTATCTGGAAACAGTTAATGATCATAGTGTATCTCGCCTCATGCCTGTAATCCATTTCTTAAATTCAATTACTTTATTATCAACCACAATTTTAATTTAGTGAAATTATGCATAAACCATTAAGATCACAGAACTGAATGTTATTGACAGCAAACAGTATCAGATATCGGATATTACTTAAAACAAATCTTATATATTACAAATGCCCAAAATTGACCCAATAAAAGTCATATGTCATACTTGTTGTTTACTTTGTTAGGTCAATATATTGTTTTACAATTGAAAAACTCAAAATATGGGAAGCCACAAATATGGTTTATCATCAAACTGTTCTATATATAATATAAAAATCAAAGACTGCAACAACAATAGCACGATATTTGATTTACTCCAATATCTGTTTCAGATTTCTTCTAATTTTTGCATTAAAAATAATTCAGATATACACTTGACATTTTACATATTAATAACTAGTAATTCAGGCAGCAAATGTTTGGACAGATGAATGCTATTCTGAGTTTGTGCATTCGACAATGTACACAAATCCTGTTCAGTCATAACATTTTAACCACTGCATATGAAACAATGTCTACTTTTATGGGAAAAAACTAAAAAGTGAAATAGCCTAAAATGTAGCAAGGGGGGGAGGGAGAGATGAGAGGAGGGGGAAAGAAAGAAGAGAGAGGGGGGATCTTTTTGAGTTAAATATTTATTTCAACATAAAACTTTAACATCAACTGCCTTTCACAAACAAACTTTCAAAACCCCTCACTTTAGATTTCTTGGACATGAATGGGGAATTTTTTTTTTTATAAAAATAAAATAAAATTTAATTGTTTCAAACCATTGAACTAGTTACTGAAAACACTTTCCATTTATTACTTACACACTATGTAACATACATATCTCTTTGATGAAAATACAGCTGTAACGCTCACTGGGCATTCATATGGTTGACTGCTACATGCCGGAACTACTTTCTCATAATATATGTCCTGATCCAGTTGTTTATGTAAGTGTCAAAATCACTGTAGTTGCATAAAATTTAAACAAAAACTTTGAATCAATTCAGTGATTCTTAGTGCCATAAACTTTTTCTATGCTGAGGACTACTTTATGTGTAGCTGAAATATATAGATCTCTCAAGCTTGAAGCATGCTGCCGGAACTACTTTCAACAGAACAGTGTGCACTGTTTGTATTGGGATTTACATAGCCTCGCAATATTCAGCACTACAAGTATATCATTTTATGAGTTTCTGACAAAACTCTGCATGTACAAGCTTACCAAAATATCAAATTCATCTCATCCTAATTGTATCTGATTAAAGAAAAGAGCATATTTGGTTTCATTTTGTCCTAAATCTTTGTGTCATGTTATAATTAGGAAACTCCACTTGTCCACCAAAGTTTTACGTGCCAAAAACTTCAAATCTAGACAAACAAATAACACTCAAATATTTAAAAATAATATTTTAAAGGTAATATCAATCCCACCTTGTTCACATATGCATAGAAGTGACCTTTCAAATAAATGAATTCTATCCATGTTTTCAATTGCTTTTGTTTAAATTTTTTTTATTGAATGCCTTCCTTGAAAATAACTTAAGAAAAACAAAGCACTACCAAGTTCACTCTCTGCAGTTCAACATGATGCATCACAGCAGCTGTAATTCTATTGAGATTACCAATCATGAATCTACATCTGAAAGTGTTGCAAATGAGTGCAAGTCTTTGTCAGTGTTTGTCAGTTTACAATACCTGAGACTGCATCAGCATGGCAAGTTTCAATATTTAAGGCATCAACACTGGGATTGCATGAATAACATACATTACTGATATAAGAGTGTAATACGTAGGTGTAATACAGGACGGAGTATCTCTCTATCTATAGCTGGGATGTAATGGCATGATTTATAAATCACTGATCTTAGGTGAAAATACAACATATCATATATCCTTATCTGCTGTAGAAACTACAGTTTTAAATATTACGTTTTGCACAAGATGTCACATTCCAAATACAATTTTGTCACAATAGGTATGTCATAAAAACTAACTGTGATGCACTTATTCTACTATTTTAATCCTTCATAAAACAGACTGAGTGAGTTTGGTTTTACGCCGCTTTTAGCAATATTCCAGCAATATCACGGCGGGGGACACCAGAAATGGGATTCACTCATTGTACCCATGTGGGGATTCGAACCCAGGTCTTCGGCGTGACAAGCCAACGCTTTAACCACTAGACTACCCCACCGCCCCTCATAAAATAGAACTTGAGTATACAATCAACAGTTATCAACTATCATCCTTGCTTGAACTTCTGATAAAACTGTTCCATTTCAAGCATGATACAATGAAAGATTTTAGAAATTTTAATCCCTTCAACAACAAAATAAACTAAAACATTTTACATACAAATCAAGGGTTTATAAATACACAAATTGATCAGCTTCAATTTCATCTCTTTGAAAATGAATGTACATAACCAGATTTCTTGGAGGTTAAAGGACTCTATTGACCCACTATCTAACTAAATGCTGGCCCTTTTCACTTCACTACCGAGTCCCGACCGCGTCGTACCAAAAGACGTTAAAATATGGTACTTTTTGGTCCCTGCCTGGTCGCCCGGCATTGATGGGTACAAGGTCAAGGACTGGTCAGCTCGGAGTCAGCATAATGTGTCTGAGTGGGGTATTCATGCTTCACTGCGGCATGGTATCTCAGTGTGCTAGCACTATAAAACATAGTACAAGCAGCCGCACATACACATACACACGCATGCACATCGTCATATGAGCAAAATATTCTCAAGTACGACGTTAAACCCAATTTCACCTCACCTCACTACTGAGTAAGTGAGCATGGTTTTATGCCGCTTTTTAGCAATATTCCAGGAATATCACAGCGGTAACACCAGAAATAGTACCCATGTGGGGAATTGAGGTGAGGTGAGGTGAAATTGGGTTTAACCTTGTGCTTGAGAATATTTCGCTCATATGACGACGTGCATGCGTGAGTATGTGTATGTGCGACTGCTTGTACCAGCCCAGACTTAAGCTGGTTTTATAGTGCTAGCCCACTGAGATACCATGCTGCAGTGAAGCATGAATACCCCACTAAGACACAGTATACTGACTCCGAGCCGACCAGTCCTTGTACCCATGAATGCCGAGCGCCAGGCAGGGACCAACAAGTACCATATTTTAACGTCTTTTGGTATGACGCGGTCGGGGATCGAACCTGCGACCTTCCGCTCTCTGGGTGGACGCTCTAACCACTACACCACGGAGGCGATGTGGGGGATTGAACCTGGTCTTCAGCATGACAAGCGAATGCTTTAACCACAAGGTTACCCAACCGCCCTTTACTTTACTAAATGTGTCGCAAGATCAGAAGCATATAAAGGAAAAATTGTCAGAAGCAAACAAAAACTGTAGCTCACTGACCTGTTGTGATTGTTCGGAGTTGTTGTGGACTGGGGACCCCTTCATCTGTGATGTTTGATGTTGGAGAGCCTGAATAGGGGTAGTGGGGGTGTGTAGGGGCGAGGACTGACTGGCCGGCGGACAGGGAGGGGACGGCCCTGGGGGCTGGGGCTGTGATGACGGCTGAAGCTGTTGAGATAGGAAAGTTTGCTGTTGAGAAGAGGGCATGCTCTGACTGTATCCGGGCACTGGGCTGTTTGCGTTGCTAGCTGGATGTTGTTGTTGCTGCTGCTGCTGCTGTTGTTGGCTAAAGTGTGGATGCATCTGAAATGGTCAAGTCAGCCTCAAAGGACTACTGACTGAAATAGTCTAAAGGAAATTTAAGGAACAGCATATTCCACAATTTAGAGGCAAAAGTTTCAGTTGGAACAGGTGAGAAGGGTTTTACAAGGGACATCATAGTTGGGCTTCACAAATTGTACTGATGTGGAGTATAAAACTTGGGCTTTCTTTGCAGTGAACTTGCAATCATAGTCTACCCTACAGCCCTTTCTGTATGGTATACTGATTAATCATTTACGTAAGCAAAGCATTATTTCATGTCATAATAGGTCTAAAACAAAGAATGTCGAATTCCGAATGGTCACTGCACACAACACTGAAAGTGGACCAAAATTATACATTATTGGAAAAGAAAGGAATCAAATAAATGTTCTGGTTACAAGTGCTAAACTGACTAATATACTAATGAGGCACAACTGTGTTCTTAAAGATATCACAGCATTTTGTCATTACAAATCATCTTTCTGCCCATGTAACCACAAGCACAACACTTATTTTGAGGATAAACGTGTAAGAAAGAATACCAAATCAATTGCACAGCAGTTATCACACCGAGGTAAGGAGAAATAAAAGCTTTTTTCATGAATACCAAAACAATGAATATTTTTCTAAACACAAGACACCAAACAAATGGAACAAACCGAAAACTACAAACTCTCCAGTGAAGTTCAAGATAATATCTTGATTAAATTGTCCAAGGGCCTACCTGTGGATTATAAGGGGTGCTGCCCATGCCACCAGCCATCTGTGCCCCTGGGCTCCTGCCATACCTCTGTGAGCCTGGGGAGAACTGGTGGGGCCCGCCCACGTACTGCCCAGGAGCATTCTGGTAGTTGGATGGGGACATGGATGTCGGACGGCGTGGCTGGTTCATCTCCCCTGGTATTGAACCAGTCTAAAACAAAAAATAAAGGAACTTACAAGATGGTCACATACAAAAGACAGGGACTAATGCAGAGGACCAAACTAGAACAGGTGCTTGCCAATAGCTACTCAACCTGAAAATAACAGAAAAAAATCTGTTATATAAATGAAATTGGTTTACATACCAACCAGCAAATGCTACTTTCATAGCAAAATGCAAAAGAATCAAAAGCAATACAAAACAGTCAGCGATGATAACAGTGGTACATTCAAAGTTTCCAATGATCCAATCACAAATCTTGGATAATTTGAACCAATATGAACAAGGCAAATGATCATCGGCAAAAGGGATACCACTGGTCATATCTAACTGGTAGGTGTCTCGTTTGAGACCAGTTGTAGACGTAACACAACTAGATATCGAGAGAAAACAGTCTATTACAAGTGACTGACTGACTGAGTTTGGTTTTACGCCGCTTTTAGCAATATTCCAGCAACATCACGGCAGGGGGACACCAGAAATGGGCTTCACACATTGTGCCCATGTGGAGATTCAAACCCAGGTCTTCGGCGTGACGAGCCAATGCTTTAACCACTAGGCTACCCCACCGCCCCCTATTACAACTGAAGTATGAACAATGCCTTTGCAGAAACTGATCACACAAGAGTTCTTTCTACTGTTAACAAAGTATCATTTTTCATCAGCTGTTGTAGAAAGCACCTGCTCCTCACATACATTATCACTGTTGACAAGCAGAATGGAGTGACAAACACACCTCAATGCTTGGTATTGAAACAGATGCATTTACAATTACATACAATTGGATTTTGAAGGATAGCCATACGTTTTAAGATTGTAATGAAATAGTTTCATCAAATGTCTCTTCAGTTTATCTTTACTACAGATATTATCATTCAAATAAGATGCTCTTTGCAACCAAATAAAGTGCCCATGTGACATTTGAAGTGAGAATTCTGTAGTACCTAACATATACATTCATGCCCTTTAAATATTTAGTGAAAAACTCCCACTATTACTGGTAATCACAAGTAATATTGACAACAAATACATCAATGTTGTGACAAGACCACTTAACTTTATTAATGATTTAGACGATCCCTCCCATAAAAATATATTTATATAACAGATATTACAATAAATGGGAAAGAGTATCACTGCATTATTTGAAAATGTATTGAATTTCTAATAACACAAATTGAGGGTAATATCTATTATAATAGCATTGTCAATCAGTTGCAGCCCATTGTGAGATTGCTAGCCATCAGTTAAACACAGATCTCAGTGAAGTTCTCAGCTTATCACAGTTCTGATATGGAGAAAAATTTGAAATAAAAATCAATATATTCCGCATTTGACAAATTTACAACCCCATTAAATGTCAGCATGCTGTTGACTTTTCAATCTTCATTAATGTCTTAAAATCCTACTTAACATTTTATAAGAAAAGCTCTTAAAAAATTAATTCTAAAAAGCATATCAAGATTATTTGCTTGTAAATGAGGCACAGATTGAAACCAGTCAAATTATAAATCATTTACACTGACAGGAGAAACAAAGAAATATATCATATCACAAACATGGAAGCTGAGTATAACACTTGACTGTCGGTAATCTTGAACTGAAATCGTATTCTCTTCAATGTGATTGAGTGAAAGGAATTACTACCACGCAAGAAATGTCAAAGGTGTCTGCAGCTTATTTCATTCATAAAGCTATGATTGGGCAATCAAAAGGCCACGACACATCCTCAGGCAGTTGGTTCTCTCGATGACAAAGGCAAGGATCAACTTGTAAGGAGTCCATGTAAAGCAATCCCATTCCTCGACAGAGGGGTCCCCAGCTGACGCGAGAAGGCATTATTCCTGCCTCTACACACTCCCAACAACAGGCTCAACTGGGAGATTTCCACCTTCTGTTTACAGTGTCACTGACAGGGGAAGGCGCCAAAACAGCACATGGCTAATCAGCATAATGAGTAAACATTGGCACATGGCTGAAACATGGGAGATAGATAGACTGCTGACCCCAGGTGCCCGAGTTCCCCTCACAATTGAGGGTTTACACTATTAATAGCTACAACTAGTACAAGTTACACCACCATACCAACAAATGCAACATTAACAAGAATAGAAAGGGACTACAAGCCATACCTTTCTACAGCTATTTCCATGATTTCTGCTTGAAAATTTATCTCAAGTTTTGTGTATTATTGACCTTTATCTGCAATTGTTACCTCTCCACAATTATTCTTCAACTTTTTCATGGTTAGTTTCTGATCTGGAAGGTGAGGACATCTTTATCATCTTCAGATCAACATAAAAATTTCTTTAAAACATTTTCAAAACGACCAGCTTAAGATGAAACCATAACTCTGAGTAATGTCCGCTCTAACAAAGAAATCTCAAGAATTATCCATGTCCACTAAAATTCTCAGGTATTTTTCTTCCTTTCAAACATGTGGCCACCATAATGTTAGGTGTTCATTATGGACGTCCAACAGATTTCATATTTTCCAAAGTTAAAATATTAAAACAGGGGTGGAAATAACCCATTGCCCAACATCCGAGTCCAGTGTATTTTTCTGTCAGGCAAGCAAATTTGTATATCATGCTGTACCGGTGTCCAGTTGACTTTCCAATGTTAATTATGCTGTTTATTTAAGAAATCGACAAGAAAATAGTCCGGTATAGTGGAAAAATTATCAGGGCAAGTGATTTTACATGTGCCACAGTACCGGAGTACACTAGCAATTTTAAAGTTATTTCTACCCCTGTAAAATCAGTGCTGCAAGAGTAAAAGATGAAAATTCATATCTTTCTGAATACTGATAGAAACATTATTACCAGTAAGTGTGCCATTATATCTCGTTATCTCCCAATATAGAGTTTGACGTTTCTCACTTCCAGTTTGGGAAAAGGGTTCTCCAAATGGCTTTCTGGAATTCAGGAATTGACCCATATGTATGACAGCTGAGATGAAACTCAACCAATGATCACAAAAGTGAACCATTCACAACGGCTGTGTGCAAGTTCCAAAACATTCACCAACGTTATCCAGTCTTGGTCACAGGCTTTCGAGTCTGTTCTCACAAATATGGCTTTTATCATCTTCAGTAGGTTTCAGTGTTATTATGTGGATGGTTACTTGCTAAGGCTTACAAGATAAACATGATTTTACTGACTGGCTTCAACTATTGATAAAAGCTGCAGATTGCTTACTAATGATTTACTTGTGTACACAATTATAGAGTCAGCCACGTGTCACAACCTAGATATAAAGGAGAATTACTAAGTTCCACAGAACAAGAGTCAAGGGATAGAACCAACCACTAAGCATATATTGCAATTTACTACCTGAGCTGGTTAATGAAGAAGCATGATTTTACACTGATTCACATAATATTCCAGCATTATGATTACAGGGGACACCAGGATTTGGCTTCTCACATTGTACCCATGAAGAGAATCTAACCTGGGTCTTTGGCATGAACAAGCTCTTGGCTCTCCACACCTGGCTTTTTGACTAAAATGCAGTGATACAGCTAATAAATAGCATTTGCACATTTTCATAATTTTATCAATTGATCAGACATTCCTCAGTATCAAATCTGAAAACAAATCTCTTGAAATTTTAAGACTCATTCAGTCAATATCAAACAAAATCAACATATCGGAAAGCCTGGACTTATTGTACACATTTTTCAAAGTTTCCATTAAAAATACCTAAATATCAGATTTATGATGAGATGACGGAAAACTAAAGGTTCTCTATGTAAGAGTGCATTTGTAAGCATGAAAACGGTCCCCATGGTTCTTAAAGTATGTATGCCTACATGAGACAGAACAAAAAACTGAAATATGGACAAACTACAAACTAAGATCTCTCAGTGAGCCAATGCTCAAACTTATTTTATTACAGTTGTAATTTCCAAAGAAATACCCTCCAAGTCAACAATAATATTTTGTTTAATTGTTACGCACCACATTCAGCAATATGCAAGATATATGATGGTAATCCACAAAGAAATGAGTCAGGACCAGACAATCCAGTGATTGATAATGGAAGCAAAGTTCCACAACCACGAAACCAAGCTTGACCACCTGATCCATTAAGCCACCTCTTGAGTCCTGCATAGGCTGCTGCACTAGCCAATTACCAAGGATATCCACTGTGACAGCCTACTGACGCTAAAGTAATTCTGATAAAAAATGTCCACGCATCTGAAGTAATTGTCCCTGATTATACAGGCAAAATCAGAAGAAATGCTTGCTCTAATAATGGTCATTTCAATGCCAAAAGGAGCCTTGTAGAAAAAGCTTAAGGTCATATTTTTTCCCCTAAGCAATAAAGAGGATGAGATCACTAATTCAAGAAACAAAAACATTTTGCACTGTCTCTGAAGGATTTGATTTTTTGGAAGTTGCTGCTAAAAGTTAATTATCCAATCGAAAAAAACTATTATAACCTGACATATCACTGAGGTTGTGAAATTATTTCACTTCTTCATATTTTCATACTTTTAAGTATTTTTCTTTGCTTTGTTTTCTGCAACATTCTGCATCATTACAGTAACATCTGCATTTCGATAGGCAAGTGTGGGCTCGATCAAACAGTCACTGATGTCATGTGCAACACCACAACATCTGCATTTCGATAAGCAAGTGTGGGCTCGATCAAACAGTCACTAATGTCATGAGCAACACCACAACATCTGCATCGATGCAAGTGTTCGATCAAACAGTCACTAATGTCATGAGCAACACCACAACATCTGCATTTCGATAGGCAAGTGTGGGCTCGATCAAACAGTCACTAATGTCATGAGCAACACCACAACATCTGCATTTCGATAAGCAAGTGTGGGCTCGATCAAACAGTCACTAATGTCATGTGCAACACCACAACATCTGCATTTCGATAAGCAAGTGTGGGCTCGATCAAACAGTCACTGATGTCATGTGCAACACCACAACATCTGCATTTCGATAAGTAAGTGGAACCGATCAAACAGTCACTGATGTCATGTGCAACACCACAACATCTGCATTTCGATAAGCAAGTGTGGGCTCGATCAAACAGTCACTGATGTCATGTGCAACACCACAACATCTGCATTTCGATAAGCAAGTGTGGGCTCGAAACAGTCACTGATGTCATGTGCAACACCACAACATCTGCATTTCGATAAGCAAGTGTGGGCTCGATCAAACAGTCACTAATGTCATGAGCAACACCACAACATCTGCATTTCGATAAGCAAGTGTGGGCTCGATCAAACAGTCACTGATGTCATGTGCAACACCACAACATCTGCATTTCGATAAGCAAGTGTGGGCTCGATCAAACAGTCACTGATGTCATGTGCAACACCACAACATCTGCATTTCGATAAGCAAGTGTGGGCTCGATCAAACAGTCACTGATGTCATGTGCAACACCACAACATCTGCATTTCGATAAGCAAGTGTGGGCTCGATGAACTAGTCACTGATGTCATGTGCAACACCACAACACCTACATTTCGATAAGAAAGTGTGGGCTCGATGAACTAGTCACTGATGTCATGTGCAACACCACAACATCTGCATTTCGATAAGCAAGTGTGGGCTCGATCAAACAGTCACTGATGTCATGAGCAACATCACACACCAGGGTGTCCACCTAACCAGAGTCTGACCCCACAATTTTCTTACACAGGTGAATTTTCTTAATAAAGAAGTCATACAGATGTAGGTCTAACTAAGGAACTTGGGGAAAGGGAAAATCTCCATATTATTCATATTATCTGGGCTGTATCACAAGACTAGTGTGTATGGTGAGCATCAGCAAGCAGACAAAGCTGTTCATGCATGGAAAATAACACTAATAAAATCATAAATTGATATGTACAGCTGAAATTTGATGTCCAGTATTTGTGCTGCCAATGTGATGACCTACAAACTTATCATAAACCACAGTGAACACATGAACAACCAAAACATCGCATGACAAAAACTTCAAAATCTACTTGCCCAAACTCTGTTCATTGCATTAATTTCTGGAAATCTTGATATCGACATTCATCACCTAAGCTTACTTGAACAAACAGAATTTTACCAAACTCGGGTTTCAGACAAGCAGCTGAAGTCACAGACTACTGAACTGAAACATAGTCATGTATAAATGACCACCTCACTGTCCAGTGGGGTCACAATTTGTGACACTCATTGAAACCTGCTGGTATGGGGAGCATTGCTCCTGTCAGCCACTGGATTACTTGTCAAAGAACAGGAACATGTCCACAATGATATAGATATCCATCCACCCACTCGCCTCTAAGGGTGAGCGAGTTGGGTTTTAAGCCGCTTTTAGCAATATTCCAGCAATATCGCGATGGAAGCCCAAGAAATGGGCTTCACATATTGTGCACGAGGGAATTGAACCCGGGCCTTGGGCGTGATGAGCGAACATTTTAACCACTATCCTACCCAACTGCCCCCTCGCATCTCAACAATCTAGCCTTCAAACTAGGGTTTCTTCAGACACAACATACATGTTGAACAAAGAAATTATAAATAGTAGCTTACTTCAACTCTGAGGAATTTATCTAAACCACCATAGGCCATCTTCAGCAATTGTTACAATATTTTCACAAATTTGAACCAACAATTTCATATTTATGTTAATAAAGTTCAACCCATGGCCTGGTCGATGGCACTAATGATTATTATCATTTTCAATGTATTCAGCGTTAAAATACAACTGAAAAAAACAACAACATATAGACCCCCATTTTAGACTGACTGAGTTTGGTTTTACGACGCTTTTAGCAATATTCCAGCAATATCACGGCGGGGGACACCAGAAATGGGCTTCACACATTGTACCCATGTGGGGATTCGAACCCGGGTCTTCATCATGACGAGCCAACGCTTTAACCACTAGGCTACCCCCCACTCCCCCATTTTAGACAAAACTGAGTTCACAGTTCTACGGGTAATCCAGGCTTACACAGATTAAACCCCAATATTCAACCTGCTCAATTTGGTGTCTTGACCTAACGATACCTGGAACATAATTCAGTGATCTTGGATCTATGTTAACATCTTACTAGTGGTCATGTACATTTACTCTACGTTTGGCAAATAATCACAAAAAAACAACAACATTCTTTGTAAGTGACATACCTATCTGTCGACATTAACAAATTGAAATTACCCATTAGCAAGAATTTAATGTTACAATTTGACTAAAAATTGAAGGGATAATTTAGATAATGCAATATTTAGATTGAAGGGATTAATTTAGATAATTTCACCTCTATAAACATGATAAATCACTAACTACTTAGGGAGTTGGGAATTCACAAAGACGCATGTTAATTATCAGATTGTTATCTTCACAACAGTTAGTGAAATTCCTGGATTAAGAGGAAAAAATTTCAGCTGCTTTGTCATCTAAGCTATTGACATGAAATACCAAAATTTGAAGTCAAAACATTCTGAAGGTCAGAAGCACATTTTCTTTAACATTAGGCAAAAAAAAAATTAAATATTTCCATTTCCTGTAACCCAAACCTATCCTATACTCTCCCCTCCCAACACTAAATCTTTTTTGATACAAATCAAAATCATGACTGGGGTGCATTTCAACTCATCATTTACTGATAACCAGCATTTCCTACACTTCCTCTAGTGGTACACTGATGAAGGGATCTGACCAGTATCACTTCATTACGAATCAACTCATACAACTCGGAAACAGTTGCTCATGGTATTATGTAAAAATCGTTTAGTGGAACAATGAATGTTATGCTGTTTAAGCTATGTTTATGCTGTTAAAATATATGCGTAATTGTCTGCAATCCTTGGATTCAAATGGTTGAAGGGAAAGGGATTAATCAAATTAATTTCATTACAGTTGAAGAAAGGGGGAGGGAGCAGGATAAAGATAAGGTACATGAAGCATCAAAAAATGAAAGCTTCAAACCCATCATGTATTCTCCACCATTGCTGAAAACCAATGTCCATATTTCAATATCAACTTAATTTGGTAACCCAAATTGCAATATTTGAGAGAAAAGTAATTATGCATTAACATGTTCCTCCATGCACCATCTGCAGAACGTGGAAAACTTGTAAAAAAAACAGTTATTCACATGTGTTTAAGTTACCTTAAAAGTATAATAAAAAAAAAAATTAACACGATTTCATGTTTACTAGTAAGGAATGTGAAGGCCAAGGTAGGACATCAACAGAGAAAAATAAAGCTTTAGGCTGCATGAAGTGATCTGGCACTGTGACATGACCCTGAACTGGTGTGTATACGCAATACACACATCTGCTTTTCAGCTGACACAATTTCAGTTTATGTTCTCCATGGCAACAGGGGAAGCTTTGGCTGTGAAAAAAGTAATCAATGAAAGCATGGCAAATACTATGATAGGCTGCTGGAAGTAAAGTGCTATCATTATGCGACGCATGATTAATTGATTGTTTGACAAAGGCCATCAACCAATCATCTCAGGGCAATGCCACATTCATCCAGCTGTCTTGTGAAGCGCTAATTTTGCCTCCAAATTTAAATATCAGTCAGTCACCATGCTGGATGCATGCATGACTTATGAATGACTGACAGCAGTAGTATTTGGTTTCTGGTCACTAAATTTTGCTTTCCAGCACCTTTCTGGCTAGTCTAATGCACAGCAATCTTTTTCTATCAGTTTTCCAATGAATCATGTCCTAGATCAATAGCATTACACCCACAAGGCAAGGCTTGGGCTTATCAAAACAATCAATCAAAACAAAACAAATGTAACATTTCTGAAAAGAAATTTCAGAACTATATGTAAAATTTATTTCACAACAATATCCAGACACTCACTTGATTTCTGTAAGGAGATGTCCCTCCCATAGGCCCAGGGGGATATGAAGCTCTTGCGTTCCAAGGACCTTGCATATTGTATGGCATGTTCCCAGATCCCAAGTCATTTCCCTTGCCCGACCCCCCTGGATATTCACTGTAATTATTAGGGTATCTTTGGGTAGAGTTAGGAGTCTGTAGCAACTGATTTAGTGTAGGTGTGGGACCACCTTGCTGAGATATACTTTGTCCAGACATCATTCTTTGAGCACTAGGGTTGTATCCAGGGGGCGACATCATTGCCATTCCAGGGGGTGCCATACCCGGTCTGGATGGACTCATACCAGGTTTATCCATTCCTGGATACCCTGGTCTCACCTGTGATTGTGAATACTGTCCATGAAATTGTGAACCCTGAGTCCCAAATTCAGTACTTCCTGCCAATGCCGGCATACCGCCATGTTGTTCCGAACCCAGGCCATAGCCCCCTCTGTTATAAGGGTAGTTTTGCATCTGACCATGGTGCATATTATCATTCATTCTGCTATAGTTCTCAGGGCCCATTCCATGTTCTCCTGATGTTGGTGGGAAATTATTCATATCGGTGTTCATGTGAGCCCCCTCCATCGGAGGATATTCACTCTGTTCGGAGTTGTTCATGTTTTGCTGGCCTCCATCTTGAAAAGAGTCCATTGTGTTTGGTTCACTCATCTGGTTGGGAGAACGCAGCTTATTATTCACGATCATTCTGTCTCCGCCATCATCGGGAGAAATATTATCCATAGTAGGTACTCACCGATTCGTTGGTACCAACCCCGGTGATTCGGATAGTCCTATATCCCTGCCTTTTTTGTTCACGCTGCAAACTTGATCAAGCATAATGCCAAGAGCACACACCCTGAGTCGAAATTCACGGGAACAGACTCCAATCTTGTTGCAGATGAACGCTTATGATGTTGGTCCCCTCCTGTCCCTACCTCAAGTTTATGTTACACACGTGTGTGAAGATGAGGTTTGGAAACAGTAGGGGAAAACAGTCTCGGATAGCAGCATGGTCTTATCATACACTCGGCTATTATATGGTACACTTCAATAAGCGGGAATAGGAGAGATTTTGCCAATAGATTCATGCGCAATGGCGTGTTTCCGGACAAAACATAACGCGCTATTTCTCCTTTCCTTTTACTCGACTCATATTGGCCCTGTCAAACATCTGTAATAAAGTAGACTATATCGCGCGGTTTTGGCACGCAGCATCCGCTGAAAAGTACCTTAGAATTCTTTTCTACTCTCCCTCTACTGAGCGGATGACCACAAATTTCGAGTTGTGACGCGTCCGAGGCATTCTTTTCAATTCTGCCGTTTCAATTAGCTGATCTTTTCACCTCCCTCGGATGAGTAATACCAGATAAAACCAAAGAAAATACTTGCAAAAAGGTTATTCTCATTTTTTGCAGAGGTTTTCTGTTTTATTCTACCTAAAAAGGCAAAGTATAGTAAAGAAAAGTACAAAATGACTATTCTTGGCGAGGCGCGTATTTATTTCTGAGTTCCAGGGGAGGTGACTACACCAGCCAGAGTTGCCAAAGGGCTTTCGCACTGACGTCAACCGGAGGCCAAGTCTCATATTATTGGGCACGCAATTGTTGTTATTCATTTTTTCTTGACGCCGGTCGTGAGGGAGATACTGCAGCCGATACTGGGCGTTTATTCAACGCATTACATACACTAAAAATTTATATATCTAAAACAGAAAGAAAATTCAGGAAAAAAATCCTGTAAGTTGGTGAAATAAGCAAGTACACGAGTCAAAGATATCGAGGCTGTTCCCGTTATAAAACGTCTCCCCTCGTAACGTCGATAACAGCGAGCGAATCTAGCTCAACTGTGCAAAGCAAGAGGAAAGGTCGGTAGGCACGTTAGAAATGGAACTAACAAGGGAGGTAATCATGGTAGCGTGGATAGAATTTACGCGCATTTATATTGATGTGAAGAGGTTATTGGGGAAATGAAAGCAGACGATTTTTCTTGATTTGTTATTCCGTGCGAACCACGTGCAGCGCTCGAGGAAAATAGGGTCGCGTTATAAACGAGAAACATTGATCAGTAGATATTCGCTACAGTCGGCTATATCTGTGTTATTCTATGAGAAAAAGAGCTCATGTATTGTTTATTTCATTATCTCAGAAGAAAAATATCGTTATCGCAATTGGAAGGCTTTGTGATGGGCTGAATTATTTTATTTAGGAGGTCGCGCGGATTCCTTTAACAGCGACTTGGTATTTGAAAATTAACTGTGGCGTTGACATGAAAAATAAATAGAGGCTTTTTACCAATTTGTGTATTCGCAGTTTCCAAAATCAATTCGACGCAAATATCAGAGGTATATATACGTTTATTTTAAACTGCCTTGACCAACAATTGGTATTTTCAGAGAGATGCGTTCTATTAAAACATATGTATATTTCGGTACATTCTATACTGAATAATTTCCCATATTTTATATCAAATTCAGGTATGATACTTTTCAAATAAAGCGTTTCAGTTTAAATAATATTTTATTAGCTTAGCATGGTGTTAACGTGCGGAGATTTAGGACGTGGTATATAAGTCAGCGTTTCTATTTCCTTGACGTTCTCTAATACCCCAGACTGTAAATCAGGACATGTTTACTCGCGGTAATATCGCGTATATACAGTCGTCTCCGCCTTCTAGACTTGCAGGGGGCTTGAAGTAGCACATACTGACGTACGTTATGCTCAGATCAGCACATGTATAGCTGCGTTCATTAGAAAGAACACGAATGTGAATATATTTGTGAAAATATAACAACCAACAGCAGCCGACGCGTCAGTGTATATGCCACTGATATGAATTCAATATTGAGTGAATTATTTAAAATCTTCAACATATGTAACTGGGAATTCTCTGATGGTGAATTTTGATCAGTTGATAAAATAATTTGTCCAACGGCATGCGTCTCCATTGGTGAAAGTGCTTGTATGTTATCATAAGCATATTTTACCTCGCTTTTCCGGCCTACTATCAATATCCGACCATGCGTTTCGGATATGACAAGGGAGGTAATCCTAGGCAGGCATTTTTGTTTTCTTTATTTAAATCATGGTTGTTTTAAAAATAGTTCCAACATGAATTTATTATACACCCTAGAACATATGCATTGACTTGAACTATACCAACATACACGGATGCGATATAAAATATATGTTTACTTCGATTTACTCAGAAAATGTCCAAAATAAATGTCAGTTTATATGAAAGTAACTCTTGAAAGAAAGTCAACTGTAGTCATTACCCTCAAACCGAACCGTTTGGGGGTGCTAGAGTTCACATGGATGTAGACTAACGCTCAGGGACTGTTAATAATTTATGGATTTTTTAATTTATTTATTTGTTATTATTTTTTTGGGGGGAAAAGAAAGATATGGTGATGTTAGGGAGAGGATCACCCAGTTTGTTCGGGGGGTCGTCAATTTTGTACACACGTATTAGGGGTGGGGAGTGTCAGCAATTTTGTACATAAAATTATATTTAAAGTTGTGCTAAGAAATTATTGGAAGGGGAGGTTTTTTTATTGATTTTGTACATGACATGCAGGGGGTCACTTATTTTGTACATAATTTCATTTTATTTTATTTATTTATTTTTTTTTTTTTTTTATTTTTTTTTTTTTGGGGGGCATTTACATTGTACATGCTTCTCCATAAAAATCATCATCACCCCCCTAGCCATAAATTATGAACGGTCCCTTAGTCTCTGAATACATACAATTTCGACAGAAACATATAATTCTTGATAAATGAAAAGGAGCCACAGTAAGATAGGGGATTCAGAACCTGAGAAAATCTAGATTTGCTTCATTTAGGGCTTTGGCACACCAAAACGACTGGACGGAAGGGAACATAATATGGTTCAGGGGCTGAGAGACAGCCTAACGTGGAAATAATCTCACCTCACTGTGGAATCCAACATTCGGGTATTTCTACTCTGACAATTACAAGTCAGTGTGGACACTCAGACAGCTTCTTGCTGGCCAGCACGAGCTGTCAGCGACACATCTCACAGCTTGGTCATTAGAAACGTATCCGCCGTAGTGATATATTTCGCGCACCTGCTCACGTGTTAATGCATGTTGAATGGACTGGGCGTGCACTGCACGCTCGTTAGCTTGTTGCGAACAGAGACAGTGATGACCAAGTGGCAATTGTATGTGATGCTCAAGATGGGTTTGCGTCATGACGAGGTGTTTGGGACAGCTGACATTTGCTCAGTTTCAATGGGTTTTCTTAGGATGCAAAAATAGATAGTTTTGGCCGTGCTTAAGTTTAACAAGGCAGGTGCACAAAGGTGATGGTTCAGTGCCAGGTTAGGGTACTACGTACATGTTATATATATACATATTCATTTTCATATACATTCAGTCCCCCGCCGTGATATTGCTGTAATATTGCTAAAAGCGGCGTAAAACCATACTCACTCATATACATTCTTCGTAAATTGGTGTATTTCTTAAGTAGGAGAGAGAGTGTGTTGCTACTTGTCTTCTACTTGGACTTGCCCAGTGACGTATGCTCGTCACGCCGAAGGCCTGGGTTCGATTCCCCGTTTGGGCACCTTTATGTGATGCCCATGCATTTATGGTTTCCCGTGCATTGATATTTGCTGGAATATTTTATAGCGGCGATGAACATTGATAATTCTGCCTTGGCACTACTGCACTAGTGGCATCCTCTCTTACAGACCGCCTCCTTGGTCTTGTGGGTTAGACATCAGCTAGGGGAGCCAATGGTCGTGACCCGCTATACTAAAAGACGTTTAAAGGTGCATGTAGACTAATGCTTAGTCTCTGACTATATATAATTTTGATAGTAACAAACAAGCCCATCTAAATTGAAATGGATCCCTAAGGAGACCAGAGATTCAGAGGAAATCTAGACTTGCTATATTTAGGGCTTTAGCACTGCAGAGAAGGCTTGGCAGTAGGGAAAATAATGTGGTTCAGGGACTGTGAGACAGACTAAGGTGCATGGCGCACTGCATTATGGGAATAAAACATATTGATTGACAACTGTGTCTTAGTGAGTGAGTAAGTATGGTTTTTAACCACCTTTAGCAATATTCCAGCAATATGAAAACGGGGGACACCAGAAATGGGCTTTACATTGTACCCATGTGGGGAATTGAACCCGTGCGGACGCTTAAACCACTATAGGCTACCCCACTGCCCCTTGTTTGAGTGAAGTATCCGCCCGGAGAGCGGAAGGTCGCAGGTTCGATCCTCGTCGCGTCATACCGAAAGACGTTGAAATGTGGTACTTGTTGGTCCCTGCCTGGCGCTCGGCATTAATGGGTACAACAAGAACTGGTTGGCTGGGAGTCAGTATAATGTGTCTGAGTGGGGTATTCATCCTTAACTGCGGCATGGTACCTCAGTGATCTAGCACTATAAAACCAGTTTAAGTCTGGGCTAGTACAAGCAGCCATACATGCATACGCATGCACGTCGTCATCTGAGCGAAATAGTCTTAAGTACGACGTTAAATCTCATTTCACCTCACCTCACCTTGCGTGAAGTATATCAGTGAGCTGCCTCCATAAAGCCCCCACCCCTCCGCCCCCACCCACACGCACGCACACACACACACACGTCGCTAAATCAGTGCCGTGTTATTGCTTTATATTTTTAAGAGGTAGCAATTTCGGCAGACCAGTCCCTCTTTGAGACTTACGTGCAATCAGTGCAATCATTTCCAATATGGTGTTATACCCCTCCTGTCGTGTAGATAAAACAAGTCGTGTATTCCAGAAAATATTAACCTATTCTCAGCTTTAATAGCCCATTCTAAACTTTGTTTTTTCATCTCGCGGGGATTCCTTCATGATGTAATTATTTATAGAGCTAGTTATATTTAACCTTTTTACATAACATTCTGGGGTCTATGTTAGTTTGTAATAGCTAGTAAGGTCATTGTTTCCGGGACAGTAGCACTAACGCAATTTGTATCCACTGCGTTTGTGTAGACGATGTTGAAGATGGATGTCGTATTGACTTTATTTGTCCTAAATACAATATATACAACCAACGATATTTGGATGATTTGTATTACCGGAAACCTATATGTATAAATTAATTAGACTCGTACAAGGTCAACGCCAAGCTGCCTTATTTAATCTGTCTAAATGTTACAACTTTCGTGTACCATGAATTATAAGGTTGTTTTGCACACATATGGCACCATGGTCGGGATCACAACGGGTTGGGATTGGGTGGGG